TATATGAATGAAAAGAGCTAGGTTTAAATTCTTTTGATTTTATTTTTTTAATCCTTTTAATTTTAGTTTTGAGGATGAAACAGCCGAGATGGACCAGTAGATCCCGTGTTGTCCCCAAATATTATGTTATGTGAATGTCATGTGCTTTGGAAGCTGACTTCCTGTACAAAGCACATGTTCTATTCTGTGCAATCTGAGGGTTGCGGGTTCTAATCCTCGTCCCACCAAACATGCTCGCCCTTTCACCCGTGGGGGCGTTATAATGTGACGATCAATCCCACTATTCGTTGATAAAAGAGTAGCCCAAGAGTTGGCGGTGGGTGGTGATAACTAGCTGCCTTCCCTCTAGTCTTTCACTGCTAACTTAGGGACGGCTAACGGCCCTCATGTAGATTTGCACGAAGTTCAAAACCAAACCAACCATTTTTGAATTATGTTATTATAAACTAGCTTATGTATTAAAGATGTAATTCTCGAAATGAAAAGTGTATTTGTATTTTACTTGTTTCCCCTAACTTTTTTGGTATAATTCAACTTATTGATCAAAACTATTCAGTGATTTCGATTATTCAATTCTCATTACAACTTTCTTTTGAAAATAAATTTTACTTTTACTAGTTTAACAATGTGAATTTTACAAAATCGTCAATTATGATATTCAGCAAATAATAATTTTTATATCAGTACCATGTACAATATATATATCAATTTTTCATTGGCATACGGAATATTTACCGGTGAAAATAATATTTCGATAAAATCTCCGCTAAAAGTGAACATTTGACATTTCAAGCTTACAAGTTTGCTTTAGAATTCGTAAGATCTTACATAAAAATTGAGTGCGAGTAAAACTTTCTTGTAAATTCAAGATTGTTTGTTTCTGTGGAGCAAAGACGCACTAGACTATTTGTTGTGTCCAGTGCGGAGAATCGAACTCCGGATTTTAGTGTTGTAAGTCCAAAACTTACCGCTGTTTTCATGAGATAGTGATAACAGAGGGATCTTTAATGTTATTATTGAACCGTATTTGTGTGTGGTCAAATGGTTGAAAATACGGTTTATCTTAATATTTGCTGTATACGGTTTTAGTAATCTTTCATGTTAGTTTCTGAAGATTGTGCATAATGGAAAAAAATATATAATACAAACGCAAGTGAAACGAAAGAATAATTTGACTGTAAAATTGATTGATAAAAATGGGAATAAGTCAAGATTCTAATATCGAATACTGGTGCTGGGTTAATAAATATTATGGAGTGTTTAGGGTTACCAACTCTGCGGATTTGGAGTTATTTAATCACTAATATTTGTTTGTTTGTTTTTGTTTGTTTTTGAATTTCGCGCAAAGCTACACGAGGGCTATCTATCCTAATTTAGCAGTGTAAGACTAGAGGGAAGGCAGCTAGTCATCACCACCCACCGCCAACTCTTGGGCTACTCTTTTACCAACGAATAGT